GGGATGTTGTGGCATGTCTGTACGCACAACCGCAGACAAATTTGCTGCTTTGGTACTTCTTTTCTGCTTGTACCACACGAGAAATTTCGATAAATCTCCATTCGATTCAGCCGCAGCGATGGTATGGGAGCAGATCTTTATCCCATTCCAGTAAGGACAACTTTTTTCGCATTTGTATTCATACTTAAAATACTCAGTGGTTCCTGTAATTTTTGCCTGTTTATAGCCTTTATAAATATATTTAAATTCCTTTTACAGATCGGATTTAAAATACTTCCTTTTAACTTTCCGTCAAAATGAAAACGATGTTCCGGTATTCCGGCATTCCGTTATTCCGGTATTCCGCCATTCCGGTATTCCGCCATTCCGGTGTTCCTTCTTTTACTACATGCCGAACTTAAAGACATCCTCTTAGGTGTTCTTGGCTGTTAGAGCATGATGATGAAAATTATATTTCAGATGAAAATACAAATATTTTAGATGAAAATAGTTTACATGATGATGATTCACATGATGAAATCTCATAAAGCATATGTTCACTGGAGCGCTTCATTCCTGGTTCTTCCATTAAGTTTATTGTACGAGCATCCAGATTAAAATGTTTAATTGTTTCTGACGTCACGGCTACCTATACGGCTGCCATTATCAAAGACGTATTACAGTTGAAAATTTACAGTTATATTAATTTTTTTGTAGGTTTGTATGGCGATAAAACATATAATTCTTTTTGTTTGTAGAATCACCACGTAAATTTATTACTGCAAAGCTTTCGATCTGTAAGCCCGGATCTTCATCAGTGCTAATAATACGTATTATTAGCACCGAATGAAGATCCGGGCTTACGGATCGAAACCTTTGCAGTAATGATATATCTATCAGAGCAAGTTTGTAATATAAAGGAGCCCAATTTTATAAGCCTTTTTGGTTTCTTTTGGGCTACCTTGCCTGCTCCTATTTATTTATTAAATTTGTAAATACTTAACTTGTGGCAGAATAAAATTGATTTGATTTGATTTGAGTACTATTAATCCCTAATTGTACAAGCATGATTACTTGTTTATTATTAGCATGGCAAAATTGGATAATTCTCAATGTCAACATCATATTCTCTCGCCAAAGCCCAGTCCTGCCAGACTTTCAACCAAAATTTGGTGTTTTTGTTCATATTTTCATTTAGTTCTTTTGCTTTAAGTTCCTCCAGGGCAATTTCATTTGCGTTTAAATACCTTTCCGCCATTTTGTTTGTTTTGGGAAAATCATTAATTGCACTGCAGTACAATTAATGAAATAATTGTACTCCTCTCAACCAATCAGCATCCAGTAATTTTGTCATGCTAATAATAAGAAGAACAATTGGCTTCTTCGTGGATAGCGTTATTGAAGTCGCAATGGATTTTGGTATATCAATTATTGTTGCAAATAAAATTGATAAATCACAATAACATTATTTTAGTTGCAAATATCAGACAAATTTTCAGAAAATCAATAAATAAAATCTAGGAATGATAAATAACACTCGAAATAAAACAAACAGAAATAATTACTTTTAACTTCTTCATTGCTTTACGTTCAGAAAATGCAAAGTGTCTCGCATCACATTGCTTTTGACGAAAAACAACTCTTTAATTATGATTTTTTCTGTGTTGGTGTAATGTACTCAGGTGAATAATCTGTCCTTTACTACGTCTTGACCAAAATGCAGCAATTTTCATGGTTTGTCCTGCTGGCAACAAAAGTGAATTCATACATTGGGTATAATAGTTAATAAATTATTAAAAGGCAGTCCGATTCATGGAAAGTTAAAAACTGTTCACTGTTGAACGCTGACTAAAAGAAATGTTTAATTTCGACTGGATACCTCTGGTCTTCAGCATATTATAAATTAAAGGCCGCGTTTATGCAAGTTTTGTGCTACGGCCATGGCTGCCATATATTTTCCTAACTGAGTGAGCGAAAACTTTGGAAATTTTTTTCTTGAAATATTAATTTTTTTAGCTCCATCAAATTCCATTCAGATTTCTTTCGGATGTTACGAAAAACATGTAGATTATCCAAAAATAAAAAAACAAAAATAAAAAAAATCAACAAAAGTCCATTCAAAATTTTCATTACTTTGTTTTTCTTTATGCTAGCTAATAGCCTGATAACAGACCTACGTTTCACCCGCCCTAAAATTCGTCGACGGAAAGGGCGAAAAGTAGGTCTGATGAAAATGTTGTCAAAAGCGCCTTCCGCCCACTTTGCATTTTGCAATAATTAACGATGATGATTGACACATAATGTAATACCTAAAAATACAATGAAAGTTGTCGATTTCACTTTATTGCTAACCTGCGATCAGGCCTATTAATAAATAAATAGGCCTGATACAAATCTTAACAAAAGTCCATGCCATTACAACCGTATTACGGTTGTAAATCTGATTGGTCTATTAGACAAAAGATTTTTTAATCTGTAATTTGATTGGTTAGTGCTAATTAGATTATACTATTGTCGTTGATAAATTGATAGTGATCACAACTATAATTAGACTGTTTTTGTCGTTGTATGAAATTTAAATTTCTCCTGCGACATTTTGATTGGATACTAAATATAAACTTTGCTGTGGGCGGAAAGCGATCGATTAAGGTTTGTGTCAGGCTCTTATTTGTAAAATAGAGCCTGATACTCAGGTTACTTTATTGCAAGTTTGTAAACTAGTAAGAGTCGATAAGTACAGATATTCGAATAAATATTTAAAATATTGGTAACCCCATGGAGCCCGTTGCTTTTATATACTTAAACCTTTGTAAATGAACAGTTATACAGCTAGTAATAATACAACATTTTCAACACATTCTATAAATGCGATAAAATCTGCTTACGCAAATTTGGCAATGGCCAATGTGCCATTGTTGAATTGCATCCCAACTCTTGCAATTTATACATTTTGAAATCGCCATACAATGGTAAAATCTAAATAAAATATTTTGTACGTGCTATGTTATCAAAATGTAAATCATCTGAATATATATGCGCACATATTTGTATCCGAGTTTTACTATCCAGGTGATCTCGTGTTCGTATTTTAGCCAATCAGCGCTCAGAAAGGGTTGTCCGAATAGAAATCCATTTTGATGTATTCACTCAATTATATCTTTCGTTATTCTTTATGAAACTGGTTGAAATTTTGTAATTATGTTTAGTTATAAGAACTCTAGCTCTGACAAAAATATGGAATCGAAAGAAAATATATTACAGAAGATATTCAGTTGTTTTAATCATAAAATGGATTTCTATTTGACAACTAGTGCCAGTACATTTCCGCGTATCAAGATCATCTGGATGAGTATAATCACAAAACTTAGATCGTGTATAAAAAATAATATATTGTATTGTTATTACAACGGAAAGGTTGTCGCTGAAGAATTTGACACGTATTGCTCTACTCCCCTCTAGTTTTAATTTTAGACTGTAGATACTGATCATAGACTAGTTGTCGTTGACGTCGTTCGGCATCACAAAATATTTAGAATATTACACTGTATGTATATTTATATGCGTTGATTTACCGTTGAAAATATTCTGATCTTTTCAAATCTTTTCATGTTAGCGACCAACCAATCACAACCCATTTCCCTGTGAATTAGCCAATCAGCTTTGTCGACCGCCAGGCGGTCGACTTACATGCACTTTTGACAACATTTACATCAGACCTACGTCACAGAATAAAGATCAGTACCAGAAGGGCCACTCAGCGGTGCAACGTGTCACCATTTTTCTATGCAAAAATATGCAATTGACTGGCCAGGAAGATGGCGGCCAGCCAATACAGCGCGTTTATTGGCCAGAAAATGTAATCGACTGGCTAGGAAGATGGCGGCCAGGGGGCCCTTCTGAGTGCCTTATTCTGTGCCTACGTTTCGCCCTTCGTCAATCCGCGAATTTTAGGGCGGGCGAAACGTAGGTCTGTTATCAGGCTAGCTAATAATTTTTTATCTGTAAAATATTGTTCTTGTTTTAATCTGTAGATGTATTCTAATTATGAAACAATTAGTTTTATGCTAATATCGGACGTTCGTCGATTTCGTTTATTTCTTTTAGTCAGTGCCAAACAGTTTTTTAACAAAATAAAGATCTTTTTACATATAAATAAAAGTTACAGTATATTTCCTTAATGTTTGCCTGTATTTATCCTGGTAGGTATATGGTCTCGCAATGACAATATCAATCAGGAAATGTGTATATATGTATATATGTACAACATAGTCATGGATAATCTTTGCAACTTGCCCTGCAGGTGAAATATTTAACTGAGAGACCATTGCTATACTCCTATGTGAAAGAACAGCACCATCTTTGGGAGAAGGTAATTTGGTCTGCAAATTCATTCCCGTCGATTTCATAAGTTCATTGCCTTGTTTACCAGTAGATTGTCGACGACGAGACAGAGCGCATGTGTTTATATCTAGTAATTTAGTAGTTTATAACTTCATGTAATTTGTTACCCAAAGACGTGTCCAGGCGATGCTCATGCTCGCGTGTTTGTTCATGGCCTGCTCCGTAGTAAAATTGCATGTTCAAAACAGAGCCTTGTATCTCAGGGATTCTCCTAACAATTTGTCAGCCGAGGGGCCACCGAGAAAAAAGGATCTAACTAGACGGCGGTGAACTGGAAAAGTGGGATCTCGTGCAATATGAGGATCCACTCACAGAAATGTTTTGTAATTTTGAGCCGCTGGGGCTTAATTTTCAGCATTTGTGAGACACATTTATTTGTCGACAAAGGTTCGGTCATGGAAATACTAAAATACCCTTCTTAACGCAACATAAGCCTCTGGAGGGTCCAATATTGGAGCTGCGGGGGACTTGCCCACCCCAGTCTGTATGTGAAACTTTTCCCTGCAGTTCCTTCATTTGGCCAATTCGTTGGATTTGTGGATTTGATTGTTAATCGGTATATCTCAAGTTGGTCTATACATCATTTTCAGTTTTAGCTAAAACAGTTCTCATATTTTGTTTTTCTCTTATCAGTTTCTTGTGTTTCCATCTTTCTACGTTCCTTCTTTCCACTTTAGTTCATTCACACGTTGGTTGCTGTAAATGTATGTTTTGCTAAATGAGAGATAGTTCCGTTTTGTCCTGTCTGATGCCGTTTTCTTTTAAATGTCGCCTTCATTTCACTTCTGAAGTTTTTACTGAAATAGACATATATGAAAGGGTGAGCTGCTAGATTGATGAAATCAAAGAAATACAAGATATTCAAAACGTTCCAAAAATCTGGAAAGGAGTTCTCTGCATTTCCAAAGTCCAACCAAAGCCACATGACTGAAGTTGGTAATGTGCAGATAGCAAATGTTGCCGTTACAGTGATAAGCATGGAAACTACTTTCTTAGCTTCTTTTCCTCGTTCCTCTTGAATCAATGTATTCTCTCCAGGAGATGGTTTCGACAGTTCTACTCCAATACGTCCATACGCTATTATCATGATTGTTAGAGGTATCACATACTGTACGCCAAATAAGATGGCGGTATATACTTTTCTTTCTTGTGGACTCTCCCATTCTTCACCACATATACCTTCATCATTAACTGTTTGATATAAACCTTGGGGTAGAACTGTTAGTGCAGAAAGTACCCAAATAAAGACAATGATAAATTTTGCAGTAGTTTCTTCAATTTGTTTCTTCAAAGGGTGGATTATTGCCCAGTATCTGGTTAAACTCAATATTGTTAACGTGAGAAGCGACGACGACATGGACATAGTTTGAATTGGAGACAAAATATTACAGAAGTAGGGATGAAACATCCACTTTTGGTCATTTTCGATAATTGTCAAATCAAACGGTATCGAGAAAGTATAGATCAGATCTCCAATAGCTAGGTTTAGAATGAATAGATTTGTAACACTTTTCATTCTAATTCGACTTGAGATGATATAAGCACATAGAGTGTTGCCACATATACTGATAATGAAAGCTGCACCAAACAACATGTATCTGATGACACTGAACCAGACTTGATCTTGCAAATTTTGATGTTCTGATTTTGATGACGTTTCATTCGTTAGTGTCGTATTCATCACTGCAGGTTTGAATGCCAATACATCTGTAAGGAAGAAGAAATACTTCATTTGCATATTGTTATAAAGCAGCAGATATCGTGCTCAACATCAGAAATAGTATAGGAGTTAAATCTGTCAAACTAATTTAATTGCACCAAATATAAGACTAATACAGTGAAACGAATTGACATTATCTTTTCACTCCAAAAACGTACTGCTACTTGACCATCTGCATCTGCTCCCGATAGTAAAACCTACTATAATTGCTAACACACAATTTCCTGACGTTTATTCGTTCACGGCAGCAAGGTTTAATCTCGGACATATTTGTGCTCTGTACTCGGGTTTAGCCTTTAGGTAAATGAATTTGACTGGACTTTGCATTCATTCACCCATGCATAATCATACAACCCTCCGACCTCACAGTAGCTTGGTGACGGTTGAATTTAATATAAAAGCATAAAATTCGCTATACACTTTATGGAAACTAGAAAAGTATTCATCCATTTCTGCATGCAAGCCCCTGCCTCTTAAGAAAAAAAGAGAGAAAAAATCAGCTCTCACATCTCTTAAACTATATGCGAGTTTATTATAAGGGTGCACCGGAACTCGGTTCCAGCCGGTTAGTTCCGGCTGGAACTCCGATTTTTTAGAGTTCCGGTTCCGGCCGGAACTAATAAAAAAGCATGGCCTGAACCGGAACTCTGTCGTTTTCAGAGAGATCGAATATCAAACGTTTTTGCGTCAAACAAAAGTTCACAGTAGGAAAAAATTTGGACTACATGCACGTTCAAGGAAAATGTACACTATTAAAGCTAGTGCTTATGTCACAAACTTTTTTTGACTTTTGAGTAGAGAACAGAAAGTTAGTTAATAGATTTTTAACATTTTTCGGTTTTCTCTTTTCATTCGCGAGATATGAGGCTCTAAACAGCGATTTTCGTGAAAATTTGAGTAAAATGTCGCGTATCACTCAAGAGTCTGGGACGGGCGTGGTGTGACGTAGCTTAATTAAGGAACTTAATCACGACGCGTATTATACATTTGTTTATATTTTGTATGTTTCCAGCACTCGTGGTTCTCAATGTGACTCAGCATACAATTATATTTCAGCTGGGTATATTATAGAGGATGAATCAAATGATACCAGTCACGAAATTGGAACTCTAGAAGCAGTTAATAGCGAAATTTTAGGCGATTATGATGCATGACTTTACGGAATTATGCCGATGAATCGCCAGCGAGTGAAGAATGCTACGCGCGATATCTAAAAAATATGCGGAACACAAGGAACAAAACGAGATGTTACAGCGAAGATTAGACGGCCTTGAAGATATTAAATCATAGTGAGCATAAACATAGATTTATTTTAACATTTTAACGTAAAATAAGTATCTCTGGCTGATATATTTTGGATACGGCATCAGTCACATCAAAGAGTTAAAATCACACTTCCCTCACCTTCGCGAGAAAATACAAGACACGCGATCATTATCTGTAATCACGTTTATTTAATACGAACGATTGTATTTTCTCACGAGTTTTCGTAGAGCGCATTTTCCCAAACAAATAGGTCTGAATCCTGAGTGTAGAGTGATACAGCACGGCGGCTGTGGCACATCTTCTAAAACCAAGTTATCCTTCAGAACTTCCTCCATCTTCTTTATACAGCAGCAAGCTTTGTGTGTATTTTGTATATCGGTGTTATCACACAATGGCCGGGGTATGACTAAAGGGAGAGTTACCAACCGGAGAGTTATGATTTCGGAGAGTTATGTTCGAACCACGCCCAAACCACGCCCACTTTCCCCAATGACCACACCCAATTTCGTAACTCTTCCGACGTTTCCTTGAACTAACATGAGAGAGTTATGTTTGACGTAACTCTCTCTCGTTAACATTATGAAGATGTTAGAGATTGTGGCAATGAAGAGAGTTATGTCAGTTTTTTGAGAAAACCTTAGTAAAGCTTGTTTCTTCAGATTTTCATCTTATATTTTGGTATTTCAGTTTGTAGCGTGTCAATAGCGTGCGTCCAAACAGGAAATAATACAACTTAACTCGGTCAAAACAATGAGATGCTTGCATCAGAAGGGTCAAAGTATCCCCAGCAGAAGCATGCTTTGACGATATGCTGGGCTCTGTAGATAATCCAAGTGAGCATGTATAATAATTTATTTACTCGTACTTGTTTCACTTGGTAAGAACTAAAGTACTACTAGTTTCTACTAGCGTGAATGTTAAAGCTGAAACTTGAGAAAAAAGTAAATTCACAATAATTTACTAAAATGTGGAAGTTTTTTTCAAAAAAGTGACGGACATAACTCTCGTCATTGGCATTGCCGCAATCGTGAACGCGGAGAGTTATAAAAAATTATAACTCTCTAACATCTTCATAATGTTAACGAGAGAGAGTTACGTCAAACATTACTCTCTCATGTTAGTTCAAGGAAACATCGGGAGAGTTAAGAAATTGTGTGTGGTCGTTGGGAAAAGCGGGCGTGATTTGGGCGTTGTTCGAACATAACTCTCCGAAATCATAACTCTCCGAGATAACTCTCCACTTCGTAACTCTCCGTTTAGCCGGTCCCCAATGGCCGCATTTACACTTGTGAAATAAGATACAGGTGAGAGAAGTGTGGTTTGAGTGCCAGTTTGATGTGACTGATGCCATATCCAAAATATATCAGCCAGAGATACTAAATGTTAAAATAAATCTATGTTTATGCTCACCATGATTTAATATCTTCAAGGCCGTTTTGTTCTTTGTGTTTCGCATATTTTTTTAGATATCGCGCGTAGCATTCTTCGCTCGCTAGCGGTTATCGGCATAAAGGCATGCATGCATCATAATCGCCTAAAATTTCGCTATCAACTGGCTCTGGAGTTCCAATTTCGTGACTGTATCATTTGATTTATTCTCTATAATGTACCCAGAAATATAATTGTATTCTGAGTCACATTGAGAACCATGAGTGCTGGAAAATATACAAAATATAAACAAATGTATAATGCGCGTCGTAATTAAGTCCCTTAAGCTACGTCACACCACGCTCGTCCCAGACTGGTCTTCACCTCAACCAGTGAGGAACAGCATTGCTAGCTGGTAACTTCAAACGTTTCTTAAATCAAACTGTAAATTGATATTCAGATGTGGTCGAGAGAGATTTAACCAATTTTAATTCTGATACACTATGCGATAAAATCCCAAAACATGCTTTCCCAAATCATGGATAATAAAATAAATGGATAGGACTCTAGCTGACGTAAGCAAAAACAACCTGGTTGCAATCTGTGACGTCACGCGTATATTGCAAAGTTCTCGGCATTTTTGTTGTTTCGCTATATTTTCCGCTTTAAAAGAGTAATATTGAAGCATAAACTGGTCTAATTGTTTTAAAAACATGCCTAAGCCACGACAAAGTATTCAAGGTAAATGTTTTTCGTCTTTGTTTTGTATTTTTTTTACATTTGTAGCTACGAAATTGGCGTCCCCAATTTTAAGGAAATTTGCGATGCATTTTTCACTGTTTAGTGCCTGAAATATTTGCTAAAATTGACTGGGAATACTTAGAGATTTCATCGTAGAATGGCGTAGTCATATTTATTTGCTCTTTGACTAAAATGTTTAGCTGTATTAATTGCTAAACATGCCGTTTTTGAGAATTTGGTTTGCAACTAGGTTTCAACATCCAACCACGCCATTAGATCACGTCAGCTAGTTTCCTATCCATATATTTTATTATCCATGCCCAAATCAAGGGGATTTAAAGTTGCGCATTTAAATGTAAGAAGTTTATATAAGCATATCGAAGAACTAAGAATATATCTTGAAGAGCGATATTTCGATATAATTAGCTTAAATGAAACCATGCTCGATTCCTCTATTTCAGACCATGAAATTAAAATTACTGGATACGATATTGTAAGAAAGGATATAGGCCGTTTGCTGCGTCCTGATATCGTTTACTGTCATTAAGCATGTCTTGGAACTGAAATATTTTTATGGGAACTAACACTTTCAAGCACACTGAGTTCGAATCCGAAAACTTCCGCGCCGTAAAGCCGCAGTTTTCTCACAAAATGCTATTTTATCTTCGCTAATTTCACAACAAATTTTTTCATTGTTCAACGACACGGATCGATGACGCCACACGATTATATCACTCAAAACGGCCAATTTCTATTAACCAGTCTTCCTTTTAACAAAAGACCGGTTTTTTGCCCGAATTATTTTGAGTTATGTAATCTTATGCGTGTTGCACGTAAACAACATATCTTGTCTACAACTTTGAGAAGGTACAGATAACGTCTTCTAAAATCCTCAGTTCTAGCGATATCTCTGTAAAATCACAAGGACGTTAATGCTAAGTCTTTTGGCTATATCACTGGCCTGAAAAATAACTAATTTAACGCAATCAAGGTATTTAAAACAAAAGTAATGCGAAGCCAACAAAGACAAAGACCAGTGCCAAGCTATAAAATCTGCTCTGTAAACTTACGGCGACGAAGTGGAGAAATGTGTGCATAAGCTGTTTATTTGGTGATTTCAACGTATATGCATGGCAGCCCTCTTTCCAATAATATTCGCTTATCGCACATAATAACACCAACTGATATAATAGTTCAAATGCAATGATAAGTTACCTCTTGAATGATATCTCAGAAACTGTATTGGAAATATAAATGCTGACCCATTCCATAAGATTACCGTTTTACATCGTTGTATAAAACATTTTGATCGCATGTAAGGAATTTTTTCTCATCCCAGAGATATAGCCCATGCAACGACTTAACATTGACGTCCTTGTGAGGCCTTGTGATTTTATAGAGATACAGCCAGAACTGAGGACTTTACAAAGCGATATCGGTACCTTCCCAAAGTTGTAGACAAGATATGTTGTTTACGTCCAACACGCTTAAAATTACATAACTCAAAATAATTCGAGCAAAACCGGCCTTTTGTTAATGTAGAGACTGGTTCATAGGAATTAGTCGTTTTGAGTTATGCAATCGTGTGTCTTCATCCGTCCGTGTCGTTGAACAATAAAAAAATTTGTTGTGAAATTAGCGAAGATAAAATAGCAGTTTGTGAGAAAACTGCGGGTCTACGGTGTGGGAGGTTTTCGGATTTGAACTCAGCGTGTTCGAAAGTGTTAGTTCCCATAAAAATATTTCAGTTCCAAGACATGCTTAATGAAAATCGTTTTCTAGGCACTTTTCGAGGTCACAGCAAACGGCCTAATAGAAATCGGCATGGTGGGGGAGTTGCAATTTACCTATACGCAATTCTTTAAACTATACAGTGAGAGACGATCTCACCGATGAAAGTCTTGAGACATTAACACTTGAAATTACGAAGCCGAAAGCCAGACCATTTATAGTTAATAGTTGGTATAGACCACCGAATAGCTCGCAAGAATGCCTAAATACCTACGAGAATTTAATTACCCAAATGGTTCCGAAAATAAGGAAGTTATTTTAATTGGTGATTTCAACTGCATGCGATTGGTCTCTTCTGGCTAATAATGAAGCCAATGCTCATACAAACATACTTGCCAAAATTATGAATACCTTTCAATTTGAGCAATTAATTAAAGAGCCAACTCGAGTTACGGCACAACTAAGGCACTAATCGATTTAGCCTTCACAAACAAACCTGAATTAATTATTTA